GAAGGGCTGTTTAAACTTGTTATAGCAGCATAAAGCAAATAGAACCGCACGGCAAGATGCGGACATGTAGATAATTTGTTAGTTTTTTCGAACTTGTTGTTTGGTTCCAATAATGGTGTGGAGACCGGCCTACCGGCACACAATCCCAAGAAATTGTTCAACTCATGAAGGTCAATCATGTCGAACTCTCCAGCCAGCTGCTTCTTGGTTTGCTCCGACTTCTTGAACGTGTTTGACGCCTGCAGAATTATATGATCTGCGTACAGGACAACGTAGATCTGCACCTTTCCTTCAGTAGTGGTGTAAAGACAGCTGCCATACTGCGATAGGTGAAAATCCATCTTCACCATATAGTTGAAGAACTACACGTTCCAGCGTCTATGTCCCTACTTCCCTCGTTCAAATCCTGGTCGTTGCCGCATGTAGCCCGTCTCCCGACAGTATTCCGTTCAGAAAGGCGGTCCGAAGGTCCATTTAATGCAGGAATCATTTGCGTTGTACAGTCACGTACAGTAGTGTGCGGACGGTACTCATTCGAACCACTGAAGCATACGTTTCTAGGTGGTCTAGTTCGAATTGTTGAGAGCAGTCTTTCGCTACTAGTGGCCCCTTATATCTGGCTACCGAATTGTAATAACTGATGTATTTTATTTTGGAAATCCACTTACATGGCACTGCTCGACAGTCATCAGGATGGTCAACCAGGTCCCAAGTGTTGTTTTTCTCCAGCGACTTCATTTCATCGCTGATCGCCAGCTTTCACTCAGCCCAGTCGTCCCACTGCTTCAATTCCCCTATGGTTTCCGGTAGATTTTGTGTGTAACTTTCGGCAATCAGTGGTCCAGTTTCTTCATCTGGTTCCGACCCTTAACTTTAACTTAACTTTAACTTAACTTTAACTTAACTTTAACTTAACTTTAACTTAACTTTAACTTAACTTTAACTTAACTTTAACTTAACTTTAACTTAACTTTAACTTAACTTTAACTTAACTTTAACTTAACTTTAACTTAACTTTAACTTAACTTTAACTTAATTTCAACTTAACTTTAACTTAACTTTAACTTAACTTTAACTTAAATTTTAACATTACTTAATTTTTAACATAACTTTAAACTAAAATTAACTTTAAATTTTAACTTAAATTTAACATAACTTTAACATTAACATAACTTTATCTTTAACCGAACATTAACTTAACATATCTTTAACTTAAACAAAACCGTAACGTAATTTTAACATACATTTAACATAACTTTATCCTAACATTAACTTAAGCATTAACTTTAACTTTAACATAACGTTAATTAACGTTAACCTAAACTTAACTTAAACTTAACTTAAACTTAACTTAAACTTAACTTTAACTTAACTTAAACTTAACTTAAACTTAACTTAAACTTAACTTAAACTTAACTTAAACTTAACTTAAACTTAACTTAAATTTAACTTAAACTTAACTTAAACTGTACTTAACTTTAACTAAACTTTAACTTAACTTTAAATAAACTTTAACATAACCTTAACTTTATTTTGACTTATATTTAACATAACTTAAATTTTAACATAACTTTAACCTAACATTAACTTAACCTTAAATTTTAACTTAAATTTAACATAACTTTAACATTAACATAACTTTAACTCAAACCGAACATTAACTTAACATAACTTTAACTTAACTTTAACTAAACGTAATTTTAACTTAAATTTAACATAACTTTATCCTAAAATTTACTGAACTTTAACTTAACTTAAGCATCAACTTTAACTTTAACATAACGTTAACTAAACTTAACTTAAATTTAACTTAACTTAACTTTAACTTACCTATAGCATAACCACAGATAAACAGACATAACACATTGAATATTTCTCAATGTAAAACATCGTTGCTAAAACATTACCGTCATCTGTTGAGTACACTGTGGTGGGTAGTACGCTGAACAGATGGCGGTAGTGTGTAAACGTCAAACGCAAGGGAATTGACTATGCGCGCCACAGGTGGCGGTACTACCAACTACGATACTTTTGAATTGACCGTTAAATGCTTGTTCGATGAACAACTTGCGAGTGTTATGTCTGTTTGTCTGTGGCATAACTTTAACTTAACTTTACTTGAACATAATTTTAGCAAAACTTCACCTTAAATTGAAACAAATTCAACATTAATTTAATTTATTTTTAGCATATCTTTAACTTTAACATAACTTTAAATTTAAATTAATTATAACTTAACATTACCATAACTTTAACGTAACTTTAACTTTAACATAAATTTAATTTAAAGTTAACTTTAACATAACTTATACATAAATTTGAATAAACTTCACCTTAACATAATTTTAACTTACCATTAACTTAACGTTAACTTAAATTTTACTTAACTTTAACTTAACGTTAACTTAACTTCAACATAACTTTAACTTACCTTTAACTTAACTTTATCTTAAACATAAATTAACTTAACTTTATCTTAACATAAACATAACTGTAACTTACCTTTAACTTAACTTAAACATAACCTTAACTTAACTCTAGCTTAACTTTAACGTAACATTAACTAAAATTTAACTTTTGTTTTAACAAATTTTTATCTTACTATTAACATAACTTTAACTTTAACATAACATTAACTTAACTTTAACTTTACTTTAACATAATTGTAGCATGAAATTAACATAACTCTAACTTAATTAGCCGAACTTTAACTTAACTTCAACATAATTTTAACTTTAATTTAGTTGTTACATACTTAATTTAACTTAACATTGAAATAACTTTAACTTTTACTTAATTTTAATAAAAATTTAACTTAACTTTACCTTAAACATAAACATCGGGATCCGGCATCGGCATGTGTTGCATCAGTAAAGGTGCTTAACTCAGCCGGATTCCTGGAAGCAGTCGGCTGAAAAAAAGTATTTTAAAAAATCATCAAATTTTTCATCTGTCTGTTAGAATTTGTAATTACTTTCCAAAATTGATCCGTTGGAGGAATCCGGTTGAGTTATGCATCCTAACTGATGCAACGCATCAATAAGGATGCTCAACTCAGCCGGATTCCTCCAGCGGATCAATTTTGAAAAACAATTACATCAAAATTGATCCGCCGGATGAATCCGGATGAATTAAACATCCTTAGGGGCTGTTCATAAACTACGTAGACACTTTTTTGGGATTCTTGCCCCCCTCCCCCTGCGTAGACAATTGTCCATACAAAAAATTTAAAATTTGTATGGGCCATAAATAATGGTCTACCCCCCCCCCCCCCCCTAAACTGTCTACGTAGTTTATGAACAGCCCCTTATTTATGCGTTGCATCAGTAAGAATGCTTAACTTAGCCGGATTCCGCCAGCGGATCAATTTTCAAAAATTATGTCAATTAATAACACAAACAGTTTAATACTTACCCTATTCTACTTCTTGTCGCCAGCTCTACCTCCGATAATCCGAAATTGTACTGGATCTGGCTGAAAAAAAATGTCAACATCAATTATCATGCACAATTTGCATGTAGAATATTTACCATATTTACCTTCCATATTCCATTAGCTACTCTCCCAACATGGCCATCGGAGGCCATTTTCGTGGCGCGGATAAAAAAACACTTCTCCACCCGCACGATATAAAAAGATGACTGACAGCCGCCGCGAAAAAAAAATCACAAAAAAATGGCTAAGTTCCATCCGCCATTTGGTAGCCCGGCGCATGAAATTACTCTAGCGAGGCGAGTCGCCTTTCGTCCGGATCCCGGAGCGCCATTTGGTCGCCCGGCGGATGAAATAACTCTAGCGGGGCGAGTCGCCCTTCGTCCGCATCCCGGACAAAGGGCGAACGATCAGTCTTCAAGTCGCTCAATGTCAAATGACGTCACTTTTTCGCCGGCAATTCGTGTGGGTAAGGCCGTTCATAAATAATCATACAATTTGAAAGGGACCGGAGCTAGTCACAAATTACATCTCCATGGTAACTGAAATAAACACGAGTGTTCACCGGTTGATCACACACCCTTGGAAAACCGACAACGAGTCTTGACGGTCGTAGAACTTCTGGACTTCTTGATTGGCGATGGCCGATGGCCGGTAGACCTTGCTAAGTACTGGATCAGTCTGGGTGGCTTGCTGTACTGTCCTAAAACTGAGAGGAACGAACTTGATAGAGTTGGATGCTACTGACCTCAAGTCCTCCTCGAGGATGACACTGGCTACGACGAAATCTTCATCATTCGTCTTGCATGGCGGGCGATGAGTCGGAAAAGAACGTCCACGTTCCCGCGTTCATCATCATTCGTCTTGCATGGCGGGCGATGAGTCGGAAAAGAACGTCCGCGTTCCCGAACTTCTCTGTGTTGACGTACTCGATCTTGAAGTCGTAGAGCAGTAGCTGCAATGCCCACCGCTGCAGACGATTTGCCATGTAGACGGGGATTCCCGTTTTTGACCCAAAGATACGGAGAAGAGGAGCGTGATGAGCGTTTGAAGGAGAAAGCTGCGACCGTACAACATCCTGTGGAACTTGGTAACCGCATACACGATCGCAAGGCCTTCACGATCTGGTTGACCGTACCCTTGCTCTGCCGGTGTTAGTGCACGAGAAGCGTGCTGCACGACTTTGACGGATCCATCAGGCATCTTGTGGCTCAACGTAGCTCCAACTCCCACTGATCGGCAGCTCTGGTTTGTAGTGCGTCAACAAGAGATCAGATGACAAAAGCTGCTTGAATTTGTCGAAGGATTTTTGGCATTTTGACGACCACTCAAACTTCTTGCCGGCCTTCAACAATTCATCGAGAGGATATCGCAAATTCCGCATTCCGAATTTACCGTAATAGTTAATTGCCCCAAGGAACGAGCGAACGCCGGACACATCCGTAGGAGCTGGCAATTCCCTGATGGCTTGGATTTTAGCTGGATCCGGTCGCAATCCTCGTCCGTCGATGGTACTTTATTTGTCGCTGCCCAAAAGAACACTTCTCCGTCTTGATGGTGAAGCCATATTATTGAATGCGCTGAAGAACTGCTTGCAGGTTTCGTAGGTGATCCGCTTCATCCACTCCTCCTACAATCACGTCATCGATGTAACCTGAGGTATGCTTGAGTCCGATCAGTATGGTGTCCCCCAGTTGTTGAAACGCTCCAGGTGCTGCTTTCACCTCGGCTTTCACTCCTGGCGGCAATCGGTTGTAGCGGTACAAGCCCCGATGCGTGTTTACTGTTAGCAGATCTCTTGAGGCTTTATCCATTTCTTGCAGGTAGGTGTCTGACAGGTCTATTAGGCTGAAAATTTTGAAATTGGCCAGCTTTGCAAAGATGTCCTGTGGGAAAGGAAGCGGATATTGATGCGGTTGGAGAGCGTCGTTCAGCCCGGTGGAATAGTCACCGCAGATTCGTATGGCACCACTCGCCTTCCGGACCACAACTATCGGTGCAGCCCACTCGGAGTACTCAACTGGTGTGATGATGTTTGCTTGTTCCAGTCGATCCAGCTCTTGATTCACCGTGTCGTACATTGCGTAGGCGACTGGCCGTTTTGGGCGGAACACAGGAGTCTGCCCTTCCTTCAGGCTGAACCGGACCTTCGCTTTCGTGCACAACCCCGGTGCGTTGGAGAATGTCGAGGGAAAAACTTGCTTGAGGGCGTCGATGTTTGACGGAGAACTGCTGACCTGGTTGCAGAAATGCTCTATTGGGACCGACCACAGATTGAATGTGTCGATAAGACCGGATGCTGTAGACGAATTTATCGTTGCTGGCTTCAACGGTGGCTGACCGATTTCTTTCCACGTCGTTTCCGAAACTACGCTAATGTCGGATGCCGTATCGAGCTACCGCTTGCCCTCCTAACTGCACTGTCACGAACTTCCGCTGCTTCTTCACGCTGCTCACCAAAACGGTCTTGGTTGCCACCGGCTTGAATTTCTTCCGCTTCAAAGAGCTGCTGGTTTACCTGGCGCTGGAACAGTAGCCTTCCCGATGGCCAAACTGGCCGCATTCGTTGCACCTGTGCTTGCCGTAGGTGCAATCCCGTGCATAGTGCATGGAACCGCAGTTCCAACATGGTGTAGCTGGACCAGTTCCATCTGGCTTACCTGGTTTCGACGCTGAGTGCCCCATCTCTTGCTTGAACTGCTGCTTTCGGAAGGGCTGCTTACGCCGGAGTGCCTTGATGGTTGCTGACGATTCGATCATGGATGTATCATGCTTGATCGTGAGCAGTCGTTGACATTCGTCGGAGATTTGTTCCAGTGACTGCTGCGTTTTCTTCGATGCGGGTCAACAATCGTGTCCGGATCTCGCCATCTCCTTCCGATTTCAGACCGCATACGAAAAGCAAGCATTTAAACTGCTCCTCGCTCATTTTCGCTAACTCGAACTCGACGCAAAGTCGATTCAACCGGCAAGCGTACGTCTTGTAATCCTCACCAGGCTGCTTGACGACTTGGAGGCAACGATAACGCCGGCTGATGAGCGATTCCACCGTACCAAACAAGCTTTTCAGTTTCGCCAATGTATCCGTAAAATTCACCTCCTTCGTAGTTTTCGGCAGAATGTAGCTTACGTATCGTTCATGTTCCGACGGTTCCAGTTTCCGAAGTAGTAGGCGGACCTTCACCTCATCATCCAGGCGAACGGCATCCTTCGAAAACAGGTTATCGTACCGCGTATACCAGGCGGCGAACGTGACGCCACTATCCGGTTCGTATCGAAACTCGACGATGTTGTTGGCGAGCGAGTCGACAATCTGTTCCGGATGCGTTGGTGGCTGACCGAAAGCTGACATTGTTGACCGGATTACCTGCTCGTGCTGCTTTAAAAATGCCTGCTGCTGCCGCTGTGCCGATTCCTGCTGCTGTACAAGCAACTGGTTGATTGATACTTGCTGCTGCTGCAATTGGTGCAGGATCTGCAGCATCATCGGGTCGGCTTGAATGGACATTTGTTGCTGCTGCATTTGAGGTTGGTTTCCCTGGTGCATCACTGGAGGACGAAAAAGCGGATTTCCTGGGTTGGGCGGCGAATGATGTTGATTGTTTCATCCCGGCGGTGGTAGAGGTGCTCCTGGTGCCGGGGGATGTGCGCCGTTTGCCACAGATTGACCAAAATTTTCTCCGGGCGGCGAACTCATGCTCGCGATTCGACGCCTCTTCCTCGTGGGTGGAGTATTTTTTCACTCGCACTTTTTCCACGAAAAACCGAATTTCTCGTCGCCACTTTTACGACTCGCGCGACATAGGTGACCGTGACATTGGATGTATGTAATGCGCGAGAGATAAATACAATTAAAATAAACTTTATTTTGTAAAATATGCTTCGTGTCTAAAACACGCTGTTTCACTTCTCTTCTAAAAACTCCGATGACGTTTCTCGCTGTTCGGTATACCTAAAGAGCCTGAATTTATAAAGAGACGATCGACTGGAGACAGGGTGGTCTGCCAACAGTGAGCTCAACTGGTCGATGGATTCTGTTTCGTGTACTAGGGATGCAATGACATTTATATAAGGTCTGGGCCAAAGGGCTTATTGGTGTTAGTGAAATGTTCAAATGATTAGTGGTGTTCGTATTATATTGCAATGTTTATCTTTTTACACGAAACAGCTGTTGGCAGTGACGTATATCTATCTGTTCTCAGTATGTTGGCAGTGACGTATATCTATCTGTTCGCAGATGTTCAGCAATGTTTACAACATTTTTGCTTCTAACACCAGCAAGCTGCCTGTTGGTCCAGACCTTATATAAATGTCATTGCTAGGGATGTCCATGGGCCCAACCAGGGTTGCTTCCACTCATATATAGGGTCGCTATAAAAAAATGATTTTCTGAATTTTGAAATCATTCGATGTGTTCGGATCAATTATAGAATATGACTAAATTTTTGCAGCAACTTTTCAAGCAGCTCAACTGTAATATATTTTTTAATAAAGAACTATTTCACCTTGAATTAATTACTAAATTACTTACAAGAAATAGTCCCCTCTAATCCCTCGTGCTACGACACTGGTTATGCTGCTGTTTTCAGTTCCAACACTAGTCCTAAATAGGTAAGTTTAGTTTCTAATTGTTTTGCTTCTAATCTTATTATTTATAGGTACTCACAATCAATCAATTAATTCAACTTGTTTACGGAACTATTCTGATAGTATCTTCAGCTTCTGGCAGGTAATCATCCGATTTAGAAAGTCAACCCTAATATTGAAATAGTTTATGTCACATCTAGTAAGTATAGTGCATTTCATTTTGTTTACTTACGGATTATTTAGCACTAAACTAAGAAAATACCACCTCCACAGAAAACTGATTTAAACTTTAGATTTGTTTGTGATTTTACAACTTTATTAAACAAAACTGAGCTCCTCCACTATCTCTTGGGTTTGTTTTTGTTTGTATCCTCCGTTCTACTTCTCCACGAATCGATGTAAACAATCAACGACGGTCCTACCGCTGTAGACCGGTGACGCATACATCTCGCTTCTCACATCTCACTTCACGGCAGGCCGGTCGCGAGTACAGCTGAAGCCCAGTGGTGTCAACACACCCCAGCCCGTAACTCCGGTACCCGTTCATCAGTGGTTCCGGATTTACCATCAAGAACTTCCAGCACTGCAAGGTTGGCTACTCCACGCCGGAATACGCCTTTGCCTGTCCGTACGTCCGCCTGTCTAACTCTGCCGTCTGATCCTACGAAGACTTCCTCGACAATACCTCTAACCCAGCTTTTCCGGTTCTGTCCATCTACTACAAACACGAGATCTCCCTTCTTCAATGACTTCCTCTCAGCAAACCACTTGGTACGCTTGTTGATCGTTGGCAAGTACTCCTTGTACCAACGCTGCCACATCTGGTCCGCCAAGTACTGCGATCGCTTGTAAATGTCGCGCAACGCTTCTGCTAAGTCCACCGAACCATCTACGTGAACATCGACGGACTTGACCGTACCTCGAAGAAAATGGTTCGGTGTTAGCGCTTCGGAATCTGCTGATTCCTGGGGTACGTACGTTAGCGGACGACTATTTACCATATCTTCCGCTTCAGCCAGGGTAGTTAATAGAATTTCGTCCGTCAGACGTCTGCCATCGTCGAGTGCCTTCATCGCCTCCTTTACAGATCGAACCATCCTCTCCCAAATACCACCCATGTGTGGCGTACCAGGAGGATTGAAGTTCCACTTCGTTGTGCTACTCGTCACTGAATCCGCACATTCACTGTCAATTCGCTTCACCCAAGCAATCAACTCCTTGCTGGCTCCCTTGAAATTTGTCCCGTTGTCGGAGAAGATTTCGTCTGGAACTCCTCGTTTGCAGATGAATCTGTGAATGGCCATGAGACATGCTTGCGTTGTCAATCCATGCACTACTTCCAAGTGCACCGCACGTACAGCAAGGCACGTGAACAGGGCGATCCACCGCTTCTCCTTTCTTCTACCAACCGTCACTTCCACAGGTCCTAGATAATCGACTCCAACAGCACTGAAAGGTCGAAGCTGTCGGGTGATTCGCTGAACCGGAAGTGGAGCCATCATCGGGACCTCAGCATAACAGCGATTCACTCTACACCAGACACACTTTCTCATCACTTGCTGGATTTCCGTTCGCAACTTCGGAATATAAAACTTCTGTCGAAGCTCGTTGAAGACCGTTTCCCGATTTGCATGTCCAAACTTTTCATGGTAATATTGTACCAATCGTTTCGTCACTGCGTGTCCTTTCGGCAGGATAATCGGGAACTTCATATCGAACCGAGGGGGACGACTCTATCTACGATGCAAAAAAGATTGTGTTTTGCTGTGGCTAGCTGCACGCACGCTTAGTAGATAGAAAGAAGATTGATGACGATTCTGAAGATTTCCTGCAAAAAATTGATGAGCGATGCAAGTAGATGCGACAAATGAAAGAAGATTGTTCGAAGATTGATTCGCTAGTGTGAGATTTGTTGACCATCTAAACTTGAGATTTAGATGTGTCGCCCCCCTCGTATCGAACGGGATTTCGTCTGACTTCGCCATCCTACCATTCATTCGAATCACGCCACACTCGTCTACGATCGGGGTGAGTTTGTATAATGGGCTCCTCTTCCCGATCTGCTCTGGCTTCTGATTCGCTTTGAGTGATCCATTTCCCAGGAGTACCATTACTTCATCTGGGAACGCCTCCAACTGCGCCTGCCTCCACAAAATCACTTCCGCTCTCGAAAATTCGTCCTGCTGCAGTGGTCGCTGTACAACATTGTATTCCGCCTTAAGTAGCTGTTGTTGCCTCTCGTTCGCCACCATCGTTCGTAACGGAAAGCCCTTTACCTTGCGTCGAAGATTTGTAATGAATCTGATTACGCAAGCTGTGATTCGCAACAACTTACGCCAGCGCCATGTCACTTCTGCATCGATCACGGGTTCTGGAAACTCCTTCATTTCATGGTGCAGCAAGTATGCTTTCATTTCCTGCTCAGTGTTTGCATCCGGCAACCCCTCGGTCGGCCAGCAATCTTCTGGTTGGTGCAGGAAATTTGGACCATTAAACCACTCTCCTTCTGAATCCAATGGAGGACCTTGTCCCCACTTCGTTAGTGCATCAGCCAGGTTCATCCGAGATCTAATCCATCGCCAATCCGTTGAGCTGGTTGTCTCCAAAATTTCTCCAACCCTGAATGCAACGAACTGCTTGTATTTTCGTTGATCCGAACGCAACCAACTCATAACTGTTTGCGAATCTGTCCAAAGAAAACAACGGTTTATGGAAAGCGAATGGTTGGATTTGATCGTTTGTAACATTCTTGCACCGAGGACAGCTCCCATCAGTTCCAACCGCGGAATGGATTGTAACTTAAGAGGGGCTACTTTTGATCGAGACATCACCAACAGGCATTTAATTTCACCGTCTACCATTGCACGAAAGTAGGCCACGCAGCCATATGCCTGTATACTAGCGTCCGTGAAGATGTGCAGCTCAAGCCTGTTAATTTCGGATGACCGCGTCTGTCCAAAATATGAGCGCGGAATGCGAACCCTCTCCACTAACGGCAAGAGATCCGTCCATTGCTTCCACTTGACCAAGCATGCATCGTCGACTTCTTCATCCCACTCGCAGCCCGTTCGCCATAAGTCCTGAACCAAGATCTTTCCATGTACGGTGAAGCATGAGAGTAGTCCCAACGGATCGAAGAACCCCATGACACAACTCAGTACAATGCGCTTCGTTGGTGTCTTATGACCCTGCAGGTACTCTTGTAGATCTTCGCGGTGTTCAGTCGAGAAGGAGAAAACGTCTTGACCTGGATTCCAAATTATACCGAGTATGCGTTCATTTCCAGTCTCTTTGTCCTGGTTGAAATGAATCGTCTGGACGGGTTTCGGTTCCCCAAGACTGACTAGGACTTCCTCCGAATTGGATACCCATTTTCTTATCTCGAATCCCCCTTTCGAATGTATAAATCTCACCTGCTTTGCCCGCTGTATCGCTTCTTCGATGGTATCAACGCTGTCGAAGTAGTCGTCGACGTAGTGTTTCTTCACGATTGCTGCGGCGGCTTCCGGATACTGTACTGCAAACTCCATCGCGTTCTTGTTCTTTACGAACTGGGCGGAACATGGAGAACTTTTCGATCCGAAAGTAGCTACGTCCATAACGTAAATACTAGGTGCTTCTCTGGGATTCGATCGGAAGACGAATCGCTGTACTCGTCTGTCGGCTGGACGAATCTGCATCTGGTGGTACATTTCGCGGATGTCTCCACCGAAAGCGATCGGTCGTTCGCGAAATTGGCAAAATACGGTGAGTATACATACCAGCAAATCAGGTCCTGTGAGAAGTAAGGAATTGAGGGATATTCCTTTCACACTTGCTGCTGCATCCCACACGAGTCGTACTTTTCCCGGTTTCTTTGGGTTAAGGACGACGTTGAGTGGAAGATACCAAACTTTTCCCGGTTCGGCTTCTTCTAATTCTTCGGCACTTGCCAGATGCGCATAGCCCTTCTGCTGATACTCCTTGATCTGCTTGCAAACGTTTTCGAACAGCGCTGGTGACTTCAGCAGTCGTTGCTCCAAACATTTCATCCTGCGCGTGGCCATCGGATAACTATCTGGAAGTTCTGGCTCTCCTTCCTTCCACAGTAGGCCGGTCTCGAATCGATCGCCCACTCTTCTGGTGGTCTGCTCCAAGATTTCACGAGCTCTTCTATCATCTTCCGATTCTGTCAGCTTCACCACTACGGAGTCCTCTAAAGCGTACTGACTTTTCAGCAGATCATGCAGCTCCTGATTGCTTACTTCATCGTGATGTCCCAGATACACTTCCGCATTTGATAGCTGCACCTCATTTGGACCGTACACTGCCCATCCTAGCTTGGACCGCACCGCTATTGGCTCACCAGGCTTACCAACCTTTGCTTCAGTCGGTGCAAGCAAGTGGAGATTGTTCAGACCGATCAATAACCCCGGGCGTTGGTTTTCGTACGAAGCAATCGGTAACCCTTGCAGTTTCTTCATCCGCTGACAGAGCACCGACGCACTTAGGGATTGCTTCGGTAGTAGCAGCTCGTCAACAGTTCGAACCGTGCCGAGTTGATGTTTCTCCTTCCCATCTCGTCCGGAAATGAACAAGTCCATTCGTCGGGATCCCTTCTCCACGCGCGTGATATCGGCTGTCCATTTGATGGTCAACTGTTCCTTCGTTCCTTGAACACCTAGCTGATCCGCCAGGGAACTTTCTATCAGAGTCACTGATGCGCCCTCGTCCAGAAACGCTAACGTATTAACCGACCGCTTACCGAAATACAATGTCACTGGTATCATACGGAACATGATGGTACTGGTGGTTCGAAAGTGTGCGTTGATTACCACGGATCCGGTGGCGGAATGCAATAGAGGATTGTGACGTTCCCGACATTCGTCGATGTTGCACCGGATCTTGAATTTGCACGGAGCGTTACCGTGATCATTGAGGCAGACAACGCAGAGTTTCCACTTTTCGACCAACTTCAAACGGTCCCGAAGTGTCCAAGCCTTGAAATCCTGGCAGAATCGCAGACGATGATCGGTCCACTTGCACGCTTTGCACGGTCTCGGATGATTCTCGCCGACGCCGGGGTTGGCCCTCTCCACTGCACTGTGATTGTATAAATGAGCTCCCTTTTCCTTCGCTTTGCTCTTTCCGGCGTGTTCGTTGCAAACTGGCTTCGATTCTGCTCTGAAATCCATCTTCACGTTGGCCTCGCAAGCTTCTGCAACAATCTTCGACACAAAATCGGTGAAAGTACGCAGGTTCACCTTCCTTTTCCGATTTTTGTAGCGAACCCATTCACGCTTATCATGGGCCGGAAGCTTATCGACAAGATCCTGGATAAGAAGAGGATTAACCAGGTGCTGCTCTAAACTCGCTGCCTCTAGATGCTCGCATAATTGCTCCACAGCATTACCGAATGGAATGTATGACGCCAATTTGTCTGACTTCGGAGGATCCAATCGCCGCACTTTCTCAAGGTGACACTTTAGCAACTGTTCCGGGCGTCCATACAGCTGACGAAGTTTGCTTATGACTTTCGGCACCGATTTTGGAAACAGTAGCTGTCCTCGAACGTTTTCCAACGCCTGACCCTTTAAGCTCTCCTGCAGCCGAACAAGATTCTCAACGTCGGAAAACCCACAAGCATCGTTGGAGGCTTGATAGCTTCCAATGAACAGCGGCCATTCTTCAGGCTTTCCAGTAAATAGTGGAAGTCTCTTGCTGATTCCACTCCGGGCCACCATTTGCGCTTTAGAAGGTGCCGCATTAGACTGTCCCAGCCCGTGAGATCTAACTTTTCCTGACTTATTTTTCTCTTTGCTCGTCTTCTTGGGTTCTTCTTCCTCGTCTTCTTCTTCGGTGGCCTCATCCGAGTCGCTTTCAGACTGCTCCTCACTTTCATCGTCACTGCTAGATTCATCAGACTCTTCATCTTCCTCTTCCTCCTCTTCTTCATCCGATTCGACCTTCTTGGTTTTCTCCGATCGCTTTTGGCTACGTATTTCCGGATTCTTCAACGGTGTTCCCGCGGTCGACTGTTTCACGGCATCAGAAACTTTGTTCACCGATTCCTTTCTGTCATCTTCACCAGCGTTTAGCTTGGACAACTCTTGCTGGACTTGATCCATCCTTGCATTGAACGACTCCCGCATCTTCTTCATCCGGTCCAAATGATCTTGCTTGTCCTTCAGCGCCTTCTCCAACAACTGTTTTTGCTGCTGTAATTCCTTAGCCCGAAACTCGTTCTCCATTTCGATCCGCTGTTCTTGAAGGATTCGGTCGATTTCCATCCGCTTTTCCATCAGAACGCGTTCGTTCTTCAGCTCTTGCTCTTTCTTTTTCCGTTCCTTTTCAAGAGCTTTGAGCTGACGTTCCATCGACGAGCCAGACCTTCCGTCGGATTTCACGCTGGACTTATCCGAGTTGTCGTCGGTCGTTTTCTTCTTCTTTTTGGCACCCGTTTTGGAAGATTCTGCGTCCAGTTTCTTCTGGCTTTGGCAGTCTTCCTCAGGACAATACCACTTTGCGTCACTTTCGACTTCCTCCGTGACTCCCACGCACCGGTAATGGTACCAAACGTTGCACTTGTCACAACATACCATGCCTTCATCCTCATCGGACACCGATCCGCAGCCTCCACAGGCGGTCTTGGTGAAATTCGCATCTCCCGGCATCATGTTTGAGGTTAGATCCTTTTCTCAATATTTCTTTTGAGTTTGTTCGGATCAATTATAGAATATGACTAAATTTTTGCAGCAACTTTTCAAGCAGCTCAACTGTAATATATTTTTTAATAAAGAACTATTTCACCTTGAATTAATTACTAAATTACTTACAAGAAATAGTCCCCTCTAATCCCTCGTGCTACGACACTGGTTATGCTGCTGTTTTCAGTTCCAACACTAGTCCTAAATAGGTAAGTTTAGTTTCTAATTGTTTTGCTTCTAATCTTATTATTTATAGGTACTCACAATCAATCAATTAATTCAACTTGTTTACGGAACTATTCTGATAGTATCTTCAGCTTCTGGCAGGTAATCATCCGATTTAGAAAGTCAACCCTAATATTGAAATAGTTTATGTCACATCTAGTAAGTATAGTGCATTTCATTTTGTTTACTTACGGATTATTTAGCACTAAACTAAGAAAATACCACCTCCACAGAAAACTGATTTAAACTTTAGATTTGTTTGTGATTTTACAACTTTATTAAACAAAACTGAGCTCCTCCACTATCTCTTGGGTTTGTTTTTGTTTGTATCCTCCGTTCTACTTCTCCACGAATCGATGTAAACAATCAACGACGGTCCTACCGCTGTAGACCGGTGACGCATACATCTCGCTTCTCACATCTCACTTCACGGCAGGCCGGTCGCGAGTACAGCTGAAGCCCAGTGGTGTCAACACGATGTTTTAATGATATTTTGTACTTGCAAGTTGTTAGATACAAAAAGAGGATGAAAGGCAAGTGTTTGACTCATAAAACCTGTCAATTTCGCTACCATAGTGTTACAATAAGCGATTTTATGATTCGTGAGCATTCACTCAGAGTGAGCGCTCGCGAGTCGTAAAATTGCTGATTGTGACTATCTGAAAGCAAATTTGACAGGTTTCATGTGTCAAACACTTGCATATCAACCTCTTCTTGTATCTCACAAGTACAAAATATTATTATAACATCTGATTTCAAAATTCAGAAAATCGTGTTTTTATAGCAAGTGAGTGGAAGCAAGCCTGGTCCCAACACCATGTTATGGTTTCAATTTATTAAATAGTTCAGATAGGCTAGAAATGACACGTTCATAGTGAGAGAATGTACCATATGGTGCCCGTTCACTGAACAAAATCAGATTCACATTATCAGGCCCTGCCCAAGAATAAGAGGATTGACGATGATTTGTCGTGATTTATCAAGTTTTATTTTGCAATTTGCATATAATTGTAATTGATTGAATGAAATAATAAAAAAAGAATAATAAGATAACGTAACATGATGCACTAACTAATTAACGGGATCGACTATGGGAATAGAAACCTAAATCAATAACATATTTAAGATTAGCGAGATTTAATAACCAATAATTGTGAAGATATGGATTGGGAAGGGGATCTGGGAACATTTACATAAAGTCGCCCATGGGGAGGGATTTAAGACGGAAGCTACAATAGGAGAGGAACACAATAAAGGAACGCGAAGATGGACGTTATGATAAACGACTAACGATAAACTAATCCCAACCAAGTTTTGAAGAGAAACCATTAACTAGTTGCAGCTGAAAGGAGATACCAAAAATTTTCTATTCCTGTTTCTGTCGGTGTTTGTTTTTGTTTTTGTCTCCTTTCAGTCACGCAACTGATTACTACTAATAACCAATTACAATTAACTAGTGAAGAAGTATAAACGAATTTTGTTGATTATGATTATGAATTAAATCCGCCAGAACATCGCAGCAAAGGCAAACACTTAGGCGTCAATAAGTAAATCAAGCAAGCCAATACACGGATAGAAATCTCCTTATACCTTTTGGCAAATTTCCATTGCTGATTATTCATAAAATGTATAAGTCAACTAATATGCAGACGCTTTGCAAAAAGTAAATAAAGATCATGTGTCAAATGAAATGTATAAGCGGTCATACATAGCTTTTATGCATTCTAATAGGACTTATGTGGTTTGTCTTATGGAATGTATAAGGCTGATGCTTTGGCAAAAATGTATAAGTGAAACACATGAATTAAATAATTGATTTTCGTTTCGTGTAGGAATTCGACCAGGGCCCAGGTCAAGCAGCTGCCCAGAAAGGAAGTCTTTCACGTTTGCCCTGTGCACCTCTGAAGGTTCCCATCAGGTATTTGAGTACAACAGCGATTGACGTAGCCCCCTTGGAACGGAAATGAAAGCGAACAAACCTGATGTTGCACAACAAGCTGGCGTGTTTTTTTAGTTCTTTTTTTTTTCTTTTCAGCAAAACAACAAAATCCTCTATCTCTCTCTTTATTCTTTTAATCTCTTACCTAATCGGAAGCTAGTGGGACCAACAAGCCTGCTAGTGAGAGGAAAGTCGTTATGCTATACGGTCTAGCATAGGCCACGACTAAATTTCCGTAGGTTCATGCCTGGCTTAAGTGCAGATCGGTAGGTAGCAGCCGGCCAGGGTGTGAACTGAGCAATAGCAATAACAATAACAATTTTTCATAGAAATCTGTGAAATAATTTTAGTGTGTACCCCTTAAACCGCAGTATAAATACTTTTTTCGAACACATAGTGGGCCGGACAAAACAAGGCCGTGGGCCGTACGTTCGACAGACCTGCTTTAAATAAAACAGGAATTTCGGACAAATAAATATACTTGGTATATTAATTTAATAGCTTGTTTATATTGTTCTTCCTTCTATCGTTTAAAGATTATTCCGCAAGAAAAAAAACGAATTAATATGTATAAAAATAGCATTCTTTTTTATAGACCATATACAAACGACTGTAAGCAAAATTTTAATCTCACACGAGTTGGAACCAAACAAAGTTACCTATACTGCAGATACTTTCCAATGTCAATTATAAGTAAACCTCAATATCATACCGCAAAAGAGTGGCATTTGCACTCACAGCTCTTATCCTATCCACTATATGCATTTCGAGTGCTAGTACAACATATTTTCTATAACGTCGGCTAATAAAGGCATCGGTCAAGCAAAGCCTATTATAAATTGAATGTTTCCATCAGTATTAGTGTAAAATAGCTACTACAATCGATTTGGTTTACACGTTATACATCAATTTCGAACAAATATGTTTTTAATTTCCTGCGCGTAGCAATCACAATCGCGTCGTTGTCTGCGTCGAGCGACAACCATATACCAAAAATAAATAGTACACTACCTATATCCGGTATACGATACTACGATATTAAATAATCCAATGCTTTGTGTTTGTTGTTGTCGAATTTGACTAACGCATCAGATATTTTCTCTTCCTCAAAACCCAGATCCAATAACTCACTAAGCGGTATCAGATGTTCCACGATCTGTCCAAAAAATAGGATAAAACATTGAATCGAAATAGTTAGCTGAATAATTGTAGGTCATTTACCTTCTTATCATCATGTCCTATTCGTTTTAGCACCGCCGCTACGCGCTCTAATGGGAATCCCATCGACTCGATACGTTTCACTAGATTCTGATCGCTTGGTGATAATCGATTATATAGAGTCAAGTCCTGCGCGGTTGCAGATTTTGCAATGGACTTGTCTGTGACAAAAAATAAATAAAAATGTTGTATGTATGTTCACACTTGATGCTGTGAGCTCGTAGCTGAACTTACCCTCTTCTTGGTGATTCTTTTCTGCAACAGATTGACTATTGTTTCGTGTTCTTCGCTGTGCGGAGTCTTTCACTTCTTCGTCCAGCTGGCGGACAATGTCCGGTACACTTTTAGATTTAGATCTCATAGAGGACACCTCGACAGAGTCACTCATCGAGCCATCAGTAGCGACCACGCTACCATAGCCGGTAGACGGGGTCTCAGCAACGGTCGTACTACCTTGAGCTGAATAGTTGTAACCAGGCATTAACTGAGATTGATGACCGTAAGCGTTGGAGTAAAAATATGCATTTGCATACGTGGACTGCGTTGTTGAATTGTTGGAGGAACTTGTATACGGATAGTAATTGTAAGTGCTAGATCCTAGACCCTGGCTAAAAGGTTGGTACTGAGATTGAACCGATGGTTGATAGGAAGTACCAGCAGCGGAATTGTATTGACTAAGGAAGCGGTTATCTGCTGAAGCGTAGCTAGCTGTCGAAGAGGCAGCGTACTGTCCATAGTTATACTGGTAACTGTTGTAAGATTTATAATAATCACTTGTTGGGACTTGCTGTTGAGGGTTCGGTAGATACACTGCTTGTGGATATTGTGACTGTTGCTGATAGTCGGGCGGCTGCTGAGTTGTGGTCACATTCGTACTCTGTTCAGGAGAAGTCTCGTTAGATTGATGTTTGACATTCAAATCTTGTCGCTTTTCAAGCGGTTTGGCATTCTTTTCATTAGAATCTTCAGGACTTCGCACTGAACCAGAATTAGAAATATTTAAATTATAAACCTGAGCCAAAATGTCCAAATCGTTTATAGTTTTCAACTCCATGTTATCAAAAGGACTGGAAGTGTCATTTTCAAAATCTGAATAGTTTATCTTGTTGTAGATGTTATTGTTGTTATTATTCAACAGGTTAGTATTCTTTGGAATGCTGAAGTTTAGTGGTGTACCAGAATCGATCACTTTACCAGTGGCGCCTATCATCGCCGCCGCTACCTCGGGGAGTACCGTCGGCATAAGAATTGTATCAAACTTATTCATATGACTATACTGCACTGTTCCAGAACTAACTACTAAAGGTGTCTGATTTTTGAGAACTTGCTCCTCAGACGATCCCGATGGCGAAGATTCATCATTTTCCTCTGATGGCTCATCTTCGCCTTCACTGGCACTGGAAAGGTCATCGGTGTTAGGGTAGGAAATCTGGTTCAACTTACGCTTTTGCTCTTCATCTACCAATCTCGCCCGTTCCTGTTCCTTGAGTCTCACTCGTTCATCGCGTTCATCACGTTCCTTTTCCTTAACCGCCCGCCACTCAGTAATCCGTTTAAGTACTGTTTCCTCCAGCTCAAATGCATAGCCGATCACTGCTCGCAAGGCAACACCATTTTCGACCTGTGCCAATCGATTTATAACACTCTGCGGAAGTGTAATCTTTGGAGGAGGTTTAAAGCGCTCCGATATCTTCACCGGGACTCCATCCATGTAATTAGGTGGACTCTGGGACATTCTATATTGATAGCCTTCGTTTTCGGCATTAGCAAACGCAACCGTAGAGACGATGATTTCATCAAGGTTTTTTTTTCCTTTCTACTATCTTTACCGCAGCAGACTGTGCATAAATTGGATTAATATGTTCCTTTGTGATAGCGTTCAGACATCGTCAATCCCTGCAAGCGTACATCCAAATCGGTACAGAAAAATATCAATAACGAATTAATATGATTCTTGCATGAGTACTATAGTAAAATATTTGATTAATATTACCTTGAATCATAGAGTTAACTAACAGAAATTTACAATCTCTGGTAATGCTATAGAGTAACCAAAACGAAATGCAAAATATTTTCCGTCTTCTTGATGCAAAATAAACGTCAAATAATGTCACAATTTCGAACGAGGGATAAACCGCTCGGTTAAGATTATTTCAGCTGTGGATACACTTACAAAATATCCATACACAAATAAAACTACCCAAAATTTAGGTTTTTTAAACCCGAATTTGAGTTTAGCGACCTCTCTCCGTTTATTTCCCCTCACGGAGATGAAATACTACCCAAAATTAATCACTTTTCCCTCAAGTCCCGGGTTCAGCCCAATAACCCAAATTTGAGTAATTAACATAGTAGTTTCCATTCACACCAACAACAAAAAAATTACTTACTCTTAAGTATATTCTACCTAAAGAGCCTGAATTTATAAAGAGATGACATGTCAAAATTGGAACAATCGATTGTCTGTCAAAGTCATAGGAAAAGTCATTCCAATCGAGCAGAAGACCTGTCAAATGGATAAGATGTAAATTCACGCTCTTTAATTCTACCCAAAATTAAGTTTAACTCTCGTAAATTTGAGAATATGCCATTTATTTAAAAGTAACCTAATGGGCTGAACTATTGACCTTTCTGACGTTTATACACGAAACGAAAATCAACTATTTTATTCATGTGTTTCACTTATACATTTTTGCCAAAATATCAGCTTTATACCACAGAAAAACAGACATAACACATTGAATATTTCTCACTGTAAAATATCGTCGCAAAAACATTACCGCCATCTGTTGAATACACTGTGGTGGGTAGTACGCTGAACAGATGGCGGTAGTGTGTAAACGTCAAACGCAAGGGAATTGACTATGCGCGCCACAGGTGGCGGTACTACCAACTACGATACTTTTAAATTGACTGTTAAATGCTTGTTCTATGAACAACTTGCGAGTGTTATGTCTGTTTGTCTGTGCTTATACATTCCATAAGACAAACTACATAGGTCCTATAAGAATGCATATAAGGTATGTGTGACCGCTTATACATTTCATTTGAAACATGATCTTCATTAATTTTTTGCATGGCGTCTGCTTATTAGTTGACTTATACATTTTATGAATAATCAGCAATAAAAATTTGCAAAAAGGTATAAGGAGATTTCTATCCGTGTAACACAAACACTTGCGTAATCCTATTTTCAAGCGCTAAATTTGCTATCCTCACTTTCGCTCCAGGCAAAAATATTGGTTTGTTATTGTTATCCTCACTTTCAGACCATCAATACCCGTGTGCATAGAATGCACTATACCCTAATAAAAAAAATACCATAAACGAACTGTCTCCCGGATGGGTAAACTATCCCACAAATGGTTTGGATTCCACCCCGAATACGTCGTTTAGCTCTCTTTTTATGGGTATTTTTATAAGGGTATACACTCAATAATAAATTACATTAAAAATAAGCTTAAAAAATGCAAATTACCGCTTCACATTATTGAGTCCGGCTGTAGTCATGCATGATTAAATTCTAATTAATCACTTGTGATAAAAAATTATTTTTTCAGAATTAAGTTTTATTCTTTTAGAATATTAATATATAATCAAAAATGATTAAAAATCAATCAAAAAAGATTCAAATTAAATCAAAAATGATTCAAATGTATTCAAACAAGATAACTTTCAATTTAATCAACCATGATTAAACCAACCGGTGGAAACTAGTGATTTTAAATTGGCCCAAGTACATCTATAAGCGACCTCATTCTAGTCGAAATAAACTTCATTTTGAGTTGTTTTTAATTTTCTGTACATAAAAAAATCCACCCGATTTCCTTCATGCTTACTTGAAAGTTCCCATTAAAAGAATAGCTTGTACTCGTTTTTTTTCTAATCTGTCAGAAATTATTATTTTCAAAAAAATTAAAATTTACACTTTTTAAAAATGAAGCAACAGGCCCAAATTTTCCTTTCGTTAGAGTAACCGGAGCAGGTATAGAGATTGCTAAAGTATGATTGTGTCAGTGATTTGTATTCATCGGGAAAATTTTCCGCTATGAAGTTTTTTTTCCCGATGAAAACATTTTGCGTATACGTATATCTGACGTAGTGTGCGTACGATAAACGTCAGCAATCTCTATAGTCTGGCATAAAGCACACTACACACAAAAAAAGTTGTTGAATATTACATCCAAACTGCTGCAACCAGGTCAATCCATCGGTTGTGTAATATAACGTTGTACGATGTACATCGATTTTGCGAACAAAATTACATCCATTGATGTAATATTGTATCTGCTTTTTGCTATTACATCATTATTTCATATACATCAGCTTGAATTACATTGATCGATAATACATTTTTTTGCTGTTTACACGACCTATTGTGATTTTTAACTCCAGAAAAGTATCCATTAACAAGTGACACCGCAGCTGAACTTATTTCAACCCATTTCAAAACCATACCAGCAGTGATGCCAGCAGTACAAATGAAAAAAAAAGTGTGAAGAACAAGAAGAGGAATTTGGGATTGTCTCTCCTCCGCGGCCTGAGGTGATGGTAGAACGAAGAATCAGTGAAACTTTTCGATCAGATAACGATTGCCAGAAAGTGAAAATTCACTTCTAATTTTTCATCGAAACTTCTCGGAGTACAAATTCATGTTCCGCTTAGTAGTGAAATTCAATTTTCACGGAAAAAGTGCGTCGTGTGCAAACTAGAAGTGCAGCAAATACAGTGCCTGTGTGGAGGCTACGCGCTGGCCGGAAAATTTTCTGTCGGGCTCGGGCATCGCCGTCGCGAAGGAAGCACATAAAGTGAACAAGTGAATTTGAATGTTTTTTATTCTTAGCCGTCTACCAATCGGTTCTAGTATTCGTAATTCTGGTAGATCTCTAAGCCTCTTTCGCAAATTAGTCATTACTAGCTAATATGGTTGTTTGTGGTCCAGATTTGGGATGAGTCATTCCGAGAAAAGAAGGTTGTAATCGAAAAAGTGTTCCCTGGCGAGATGGACCAAACTGGTCTTCGCCGTCTGTAAAGACAGTCGCAAAGAAAAAAAAAGTGTTCCCTAGCGGTGGCTACTCGACGGATTTGAGCAATCATAAGCTCCAGCCAGTGACAACGTAAATGAGTGGAAAACAAAGTAGACATTTTGAGGCAGTAGTTGTGTGAAGGCCGAAAAATTCTGTTTTATTTTTGGTGAAAAAGAAAGGTTTTCAGTTTTTAATTCTCCCCTCAGCTAAGACGGTGTCACATTGCATTTTTTTTTTTTTCTATTTGATTATTTTGGCAAACTGTTAAGTAATTAACTACTCCTTCCTACTCGCGACCTCGTATGACAGACAGAGATACATTGGCTGTCCGGATAGGATTGTGTTCTCAAGTCTGTGTGAGTGCGTGCAGTATTCGACGAGGAGCGTCCGGGATTAATCAAACACACAAAAAGAGAAACCAAGAGTACGAAAAGACGGGCGTGCACATAATCAACATCATCAAAAGAGAACAAGAGTAGTTATTCCAACAATAACAACAGCAACGACTAAAACGACGACGACGGCCGCGAGTGTGGAGAAAGGTTCTTTATTCCGCTGCTACGATCAAAGCTTCGATCAACATCTGAAGTGTATGTTGTACATTGAATAGCAGCAACAAGCTTTCCTGTTTCTTGGCACAGGGGGAACGTTCGATTCCTTCAACAACAGCAGTAGCTAGTAACAACAATAACAATGACGGAATACAAACTGGTAGTGGTCGGCGCTGGAGGCGTTGGCAAATCTGCACTCACGATACAGCTCATCCAAAATCATTTTGTGGACGAATACGATCCAACCATCGAAGATTCTTATAGGAAGCAGGTGGTGATTGGTAAGTGAAATTAGTCATCTTATCTGGGTAATTGAAACTATTAGATATGTTGGCTGCCAGAGTTGTAGGGTAAATAATAATTGTTTTGTTTTTCATACGGGGAAATAAAATTTAGTCGGCTATCACTGAAAGAAATACCTTTCGACTTTTTCATTTGATTAGCTACGATGGGTTCAATCCTCATGAATTGTAGACGTCTTAGTCGATTACCTCGGGAATACCTGTATAAAGAGAGAGTGAGAAGGATTAGTAATTTCCTTTTAATTCCACTACCTTATTTGCTTATCCTAAACAGATACGCGAAAAAGGATTCTATAACATTCCCCAGAATGCAACATTCCCCAGAAAAACATTCCACAGAAAAGTATTCCCCAGAAAAGATGATGAAATTAGTAATTTTCACTTTTCTTTTTTTTTTACTATTGATAATACACTATGTTTACTTTTATGGAACTATGTATTTATCAATTCCAAACCATTTTTTAGCTCTTTATAAAATGACAACCCTTAAGTTTTCGAGCACTTCGTTCATCATTTAAAAAGTAAAAGGGTCTATTATGCAATCCAATTCAAACAGTCGGATACTGTTAAACCACAGACAAACAGACATAACACTCGCAAGATGTTCATCGAACAAGCATTTATCGGTCAATTTAAAAGTATCTTAGTTGGTAATACCGCCACCTGTGGCGTGCATAGTCAATTCCCTTGCGTTTGACGTTTTCACACTACCGCCATCTGTTCAGCGTACTACCTACCACAGTGTACTCAACAGATGGCGGATATTTTTTAACGACGATGTTTTACAGTGAGAAATATTCAATGTGTTATGTCTGTTTGTCTGTGGTTAAACCTTATCGAAGAATTGTTCGACCTGAGTTGATGGATTAAAAAATCGGTGCATGGAACGTTGAACTACCGATTACAAATTTATAACATTATTCCACTCGTTATTATCCCAAATGGTCATAACCCCGAATCCCTTGCGAAAAGCTATTGATTGTATATTTTCCTTATATATTAAAAGAAGGGAATATTCATCTATATCCAAAGAATTAATTATTTCCTTTTCTTATATTTTCAAAGAAGGGAATATTCCATCCTTTATCATATATTTAGGTTTTCTTTTATATATTCAAAGAAGGGAGTATTCCCTTCTTTATCGTATATCCAAAGAATTAATTATTTCCTTTTGTTATATTTTCAAAGAAGGGAAAACCTATTCATCCATTAAGGTCTCCTAAAACCCCTTGACCCATTAAGAAGTTTTGTTTTCTTCTTTTTATATACACGAAAAAAGATTCCAGGAGTGACTATAATAAACAAAAATAGTAAATCTAATACATGTCATACTTTTCGGGGGAATGTTATAGAACCGCGAAAAAGTCTTAGCGCACGATTAATTATTAGGGGAGAACAGTACATAACGCACCCCCGGGGTAAGACGCACTTTTTCATTTTATTTTGAGTTTTTCTTGGAATTTTTAATCCAATTCTAGGATTTATCGTGCAGGATTTTGAGTTCAGATGCTATGCTAGAAGTGCTGCTTGATAAGACAACAAAAAAGTTACGTAAAAGCCATGAAAAACACAAATGAAAGTCAGCTGGTGCGTTCTGCCCAGGGGGTGCGTTGTATACCATTCTCCCCTACTTGTAAAAGAAGTAAGATCCATGTTCAAAGTCCCTCCCCTTGGCTAGTTTTTGCACCTTGCTGTTGGTGGGCGGGCTTAATTTCATGCTAGTGGAGTGTTGGAGACGGTGGGTTTATGGTCGGCGTTGCTGGCTCATGCCGCGATAGAATGGCGTCATGGGCAGGCAATGGAGATTACTGAGCTTCCCCTCTCTGATAAACCACTCCATGAGAGAACCAAAGATCTAGTCTAGCAGTGATAGTATCACACTTGTTACTCTTTTAATTGAAAGCCGCGTTGTAGTACGCTTACGTATAGGCACTGACGTTGGGTGTGATACTGGCGGGTTTTGCCGCAAATCACTCTTATTTTATTTATTTTTACGCAGATAGATTCATTTGGGTTTGCAAGGGAATTATCCTATTGAAATATTTCAGAAAGTGCCCAACAGTGCTCCTTCTATTTGCGTGACAAGCTTTCATTGTTGTTTTCATTGAATTATTACTCAGGAAACAATGTTAAACATCATTTTTGTACATGGTATTGTAACTAATCTTATATGTGCTTCATTTTGATTTGGGATAAGTGTTTGAACTATGGCTCGGGATTTCCACTGTGGTGTGCTTCTATTGTGACATACCCATATGTATTTTTGTGGTGCGACATAGTGGAAGCGTGAGAGCGTAGTTGGAACATTTACCCTATACAATATACAATTTAAAATTAGCTTGGAAACTAACTTCAAAGTGAAGCATTTGAGTCACTTGAAGGTGTCATCTGGGAAGAACAAAGATATAATTAATATATGTAAAAGCCAGAAGTACTTGAAACACGTTAAATTGTAGTTTAAAAGCATGGGTTATGATTGTGTAGGTAGATTAGAGATTTCAGTTATTTATTAAATAAACTTCAATTATAGAATTCAGAAAGTTAATTAACATAAGAGATAGGACGCGGGGGGTCCGCTTAGGGAGGCGTCTAGCCTATGAAGTTGTATAATAAATCTTCCTATTTAGTGTATTTGTTAATTACAGACAATGTCAATAGCGAAAGTCATATCTTCAACCAGGCGCTTACGAACAAGTGAAGTTTTAGGAAAGATGTGTTAAATATGTTGATAGGTTTGAAATAAGAATTAGGATTGTTGTGCTTTAGTTTTCGGTAAGGTATGATGTGTCAACAAAGCCCTTTTGAGCAAATTTTCAAACATCAAATTGATTGAGTGATTTATTGAAAGACATTGCGTTGCGAAAATTGACAAGTCATACATCTAACATAACTACTAACACTAAAATGATCCCGGAACTAACACTTATCCATTGCACTTTTAGTTATATATTAGTTTTATTTTTCTACTAAGTCATCTATGCTTCTTTCTATTGTTTGGATCAAGTACAACTAATACTAATCTACCTTTATGTATGTTTTACTCCCTTTTAACCCATTATCTTTATGAATGGCGAATCATATGACGTGAGACACGTACAAGCTGGAACTCAAAGAATTACTTCGAACAGGATGTCAAACAAATTCAGGACCAATCCAAATGAGACCAAATGAGGCATCGGGGAGTTATATATTCTGGGAGAGGTATTTGATAAATAATCAAAAAGTGGTAAGTTAAAATCAGAGCCAAGGATCATGAGAGGTAATTGTCAATAATTCATTAATTAGTAGAAATCTCGATAACTTTTTCAAGGGAGCGTATCGGCTTTTGTAGGCGGTGCGTTTGGTCGTCGATTTGGCTTAACTGGTGGCTCGCCCACGCGGGCTGGCACTATCATCAGATAGGGGAAATTTTCCTCTACCTGCTGGTGGTGTTGATGAGCGTGTGCGAGCTGCCGTTTGCGCCGGATCGACGATCGGATGCATTGTTTGCAGGAGCTGGTGCTTCCCTTTGAAAAAGTAATCGAGAAATAACCATATTATCCTGTAATTGATATTACTATTTTTATATATCAATGAAATTAGTCATGACAGAGTAACAGATGGGGAAGGACAATAGACACAAGTTGACACAATAAACAAGACAAGTGGGGGTTAATACACAAGACAAAATGACAAAATAAGTGACGACAGAAGACAAGACTGCGACAAAATTCAACCTTAAAAAAAAAGGAATGCGCAATTATATTATCAAAACTATTTGGATCAGCACAAAAACAACAGTGACCAAACGGGCACCATAGCCTAGGAACGTCTGTGTGTTGATTTAAAATAGAGGCTCATAGAAGCAAAATTGATCAATAAAAGGGGTCCAGTGTAGAGTTTAAGCAAGTGCTGCCACTGGATCACTACAAAAAAAAAAAAAAGAAGTAAGATCCATGTTCAAAGTATTTATTACTTCACGAATACTGTTGCACTTCATTGTTACATCCCTATTTACCTTGTCGAGTAGTAGACCAGTAACCAGTGTCAACATTTCAAAGGGGCGTAATTGTATTTGTAAACAATGACTTTAGCAGTCGATTTCTCGTGAAATTAAAACTTACTCATGAAGATTAATTACACCACCAGGTAGAGGAATGTTTCCTTTGCCTGCTAACGTTGTTAATTTGAAGGGATGGACTTTTATTTGCGAGAAATCGATAGCTAAAGCCATTGTTTACAAAAGCAATTACGCCCCTTTGAAATGTTGGCACTCAATTAATCAATAAATTCTGATTATTCAAGCTTTTCATAAATTACATAATTTCCATTTGGAAAGACCAGCGATTTTAAGAACACTAATCAATAAATTCCGGATTTTTCAAGCTAAGCGTAAATCCATAATTCACTGTAGTTTCCAGTAACTTCTGCTTCTAATTATTTTTTCTTCTTAATTTGTGCAGTTTATTTAGTTATGTATTCCTCCAAAAACTGCTTCCTTGACCTTAAGAAAAGTTTGTCAATTGATAGGTTATCGTCAGGAATAAATAATATACAAATTACAAATTAATAAGACCCTACTTTCTCGAGCTTCTAGAAAAAAACGTGTTCAATCTCTAATAAACAAATACCATAAACGAACTGTATTCCGGATGAGTAAACTATCCCACAAATGGTTTGGATGATACCCTGAACACGTCGTTAAGCTCTCTTTTATTGTTATTTTTATTAGGGATGACACCGCTCCAACTAGCTCGAAGTTGCTCGCACTTACTGGTGATTTTATCAATAGGAAAAATTAAAACCCCCTAAATTAAATCGCCCCTTGAGAAATACGTCACGCAATCACAATCCCCTCCCCTCCAGTTATAGACCGAATAGAAGCTTGTTTGGCAATGAATTTTATACATAAATTCTGCCTCGTTGAATCCAAATAGGGGAAATGACGGCTTCGACATGCCAGACTATTTTCGGCAACCCAAAATGAAACACTATTTTCA